AGGGAAATATATATCGACTTCAAAAACAAACAAGCAAAAATGCCTTTTGTGCTAGGCAGCAAAGCACATGTGAGAGGAACTTGCCCCAGCATCTCAGAACAATTACTTTTCAGTACAATTTGTGAATACAAGACACCTACATGAAGAAGGAAGAACCCATCTCCTCACAGCAATTCTCAGTGACATCAGCAGCTCGTAGGAGATTTGTAGCATCAAGAACAACTCCAGAAACACAGCAGATATCCTTTAACAATACTGATGTTTGTAATATCAAGTGCTTCTGAGGCTTCATGCTCTGGTGAATGGGTTGAAAAACTCTGTGCCACCCTGGCCGGTTTGGCTCAGTCAGTTAGAGCATCGGCTTGCAGTCCGGAGAGACCCGGGTTCGGTTCCCGCTAAGGGCATGTACCTTGGTTGCATTTTGTACCCGGCCCTGGTTGGGTCATGCGGAAGGCAACCACTCGATGTGCCCCTTTCACGTCGATGTTTCTCTCTCTCTCTCTTCCTCTCTCTCCTTCCCACTCTATCTGAACAAAAAAATGGAAAAATGTCCTCGGGTGAGGATAAAAAAAGAAAAGAAAAACTCTGTGCCTTGAGCTGCTGCCTCTTACCCTGATGCCACAGGTGGTTCTTCCCTCTTCTGATTGATGCAGGACAGGATCGAGCCAAAATGCTCTCTGGGTGCAGAATATCTGAGGAATGTAGAAAAAGTCACATTTAGCACAATTTCTATATCAAAAATGAGTTTTCAACATTTTATATTAAAATGGAAGCCTGTTTCTTTGATTTAACCACTCTTTTTAAAAAATAAGTTTATTGAGGTAACATTGGTTAGTGGCATCTATTTAGCTTCCACTTTCTCCAACCGTTTGGGGTTTGGTAGGGCTCGAAGCTGACAGATACAAGTGCCTTTAGCTCCAGCTAATTTTTGCTGTTGAGTCAACAAATGAAAGGTCATGTTTTCCTCATGGACGTTTTGTGCGTCTTTACTCAGGAAACGAGTGCACAGTATCAGAAGACATTTAGGTACAACTTATGTTCACAATATATACAGTGTAATATTTTATTACACTTGTGTGACAGATAAGCCTAGGTTTTTATCTCTCTCCCCTTACTATTTGAGTTTGCTTTAAAAAATAATATAAATGGCTTTGTATGTGTACAGGTGTTAATGCAGGTATTGGAGAATAAACAACACATTTCTTTCTTCTCCATCAACTTTTGCCAGATAATCAATTCTTAATTTAGTCACTTACATGGTCCCCCTGAAAAAGAATAGTTAGATTTTAGATGGAGACATACGTAAAGGCAACAAAATCCCATTTCATATAGAAAATCTGTAAGTCTGTCGAGGTAACCTGGAGATTAATAATATAAAAGAAATACATACATGAGTAAAGAACTTTCACTCCAGGATGGTTAGAATAAACTCATTGCAACTAAAACTTCATTATGTGCTTGGGAACTGTTAGTTCTGATTACCTGGCAGTAATGTGGAAATAGGCATTTGATAAATGGTAGTTCAATGTAAGGTTGAAATGATAAGGTAATGAATAACATTTGATGAAGCGATCTGAGATTCCCCTATGTAAAGGGATCTCAATATGTTAAAAGTAAAAGGATTATTTCTTCAGCTTATTCCAATGGGATAGATGAGCAAAATATTAATACATACCTACATAGAGAACTATAGAAGACGAAATAATTAGGTAAAATGCTTCCTCCAGTGCTTGACTAAAATAAAAAAAAGAAAATCAAATAAGAAAAAACATTTCAAAAGAACCTCAGACATCTTTTTTTCATGTTCCATATGAGAAGCACACATTTCAAATCCCTTTCAGGGCTTAAGGTCTGTGAATTGCACCACTCTGTATGTTGCCATAACAGCTCAGCAGATGGTGTTCTGCAAAGTAAACACGGCCATAAAATAGCCATTGGTTCTTCAAAGTTTTAATGGCCAAAATATGTTTACATTTTGCTCCTTGTGGTGTAATATACACTTAACTGCACACAGCTTGCATATGGTTATACATAGATTTAAGATTACAGCACCCTAGGTTGATACTTTGTGGCCACACCCTGAATCCCAGAGTGTTCAGCATCTTTAGCCCACTAGAAAAGCTGAGAGAAGTAAATCTAGCATGTGTAATGGCCCTTCTTATAGACAATTCCAGTGGGTTTAGGGGAAATGGGGAGTGGAGGTAGGATTCATTCCAGCCTTCTGTAAAAATAATGTGTTTCAGATTACCCTCACCGCTTTTTGTCCTCTGAAAACGTTAAGATTGAGAATGGGAGAGCTGGGAGCAGTATGTTTGACTGGAGACTTGGAGAGAGAGAAGGAATTTGGGTAACAATTATTGCCCTCTTACCCCTCCCCTCAGGAAGCCCTACTAAAATGAGACTGTTAGGGTATAGATAGGGTTTGATGTAGTAACTGAATCTTTCCAAGACCATGTATGTGAATTTATATAGAGGACAAAGACTGAGTTCTCCTTTCTTGGTCTATGAGTATTCCAGATGAGCTAACTCTTGGGAGGTTCTTTAATATTTTAATACAAGATAGATTTACCCTGAAGCTTAAGCTTCAAGGCCCCTCACCTGCACAGACCCACTGGAAGGGGCCCTAGCAATGTGTTCTCATAGTTATATGTTTCTATAAAATTTCCAAATACAACATATTCTAATTGACAAGATGATCTATTGAGATTGCTGTCTCTCTCTACTCCAACTTCCCCTTCATTGCACTTCCCATCCTATGTGATAGAGTTGGAGTGGCCATGGGCATTTTGAGGATCTAGCTAAGTGAAAGTTGTTCCAGGTTTAGTTTTGGTTTAGTGAAATATATTTGTGTGGTTCACATTCACTTTCATTTAGAGTTAAATTATTGCAAGGTGTTCTGATTCTAAGACTCATCCTATTGTCCACTGTGTCCACTCACTCATTGCCTTAACCAAAGGTGCAGAGATTGAGGTCTCATTGCAATTTGTATGTGTCCACTGAAACCTAGCACCAGAGGATGTGGGCTGTAGAGAAGACATGAGGTTTGAAATATATTAAGGAGATTTTAGTCTGGAAAATTCTTGCAAATATGAAGAAACTTAAGGGAGGCTTTCCCCAAATTGACAGTAATCTTCGATTTATATGCTATTACCAGAAAGTAATCAGAAAAATATTATTCTAAATTATTAGTAACAAGAAAAATTTTAAACACCTATGCTAGAGAAATGACTAGGTTACTTTTGTGTATTTTCTAGAGAAAATTTAGCAAAATTATTGTCATATAAAGAGACACCAGAAGAATATGCAGACAATAAAGTTTCCTGCCTTTTTTATTATCTCACATTAGCTGAAAAGAGATTTAGCAATCTGGAGAACAAGTCAGTAGAAAATATCCAGATTGAAACGCAGAGAGCAAACAGGATGAAAAATACCAAAGAGAGAGAGAGAGAGAGAGAGCAATCACAATTGGGAGAAGATATTTGCAATACATCTGAAAAGAGATTCATATCCAGTATTTTTTTTAGAACTTATACAAATCAATAAGAACAACTTAGAAAACCCAATAGAAAAACAAGTAAAAGAACAGACATTTTTGCAAAAGAGGATGCCTAAATGAAAAACAAATATATGAATGGGCAAAAACTGGCAAATAAATAAAAAAAAATCTCATCTTAAATCTTGAACTTTACAAAGAAATTGATACAAAATGTATTTTGGAGCTAAATGTAAAATATATTACTAGAACAGAACATAGGAAAAACTCTTCACAAATTGGGGATAGGCAAAGAGTTCTTAGACATTATACCAAAAGCACAAGTCAAAAAATAAAGAAAAATAAATAATTTGGACTCCATCAAAGTTCAAAACTTTTGCTTTGCAAAAGACTCTGTCATTCTACCGGGTGTGAGGTGATATCTCACTGTGGTTTTGATATGCATTTCCCTGATGATTAGTAATGTTTAGCAACTTTTCATATCACAAACAGGTTTTTAATAAAAACTTAACTTATTTTGTCAGAAGATTGCCTAGTAATACCAAATATCAATGAACCTTTAAAAGAGATATTTCTAAACAAAATAAAGATAATTTGGCTTGCCATGGCCGGTTTGGCTCAGCAGTTAAGAGCATTGGTCTTCGGTCCAGAGAGACCTGGGTTTGGTTCCCGATAAGGGCATGTATCTTGGTTGCAGTTTGTCCCTGGCCCTGGTTGAGCCCCGCGGGAGGAAGCCACCGGATGTGTCCCTTTCACATCTCTCCCCCTCCCTCCCTTCTCCTCCCTCTCCCTCTCCCTGTCCCTGTTCCTCTCCCTCTCCCTCTCCCTCCCTCTCCCTCTCCTTCTCTCTCCTTCCCACTCTATCCGAACAAAAATTGGAAAACTGTCCTGGGTAAGGATAAAAAAATAATTTGGCTTGAGAGAACAACTTTTAATTTCAAAGTCTATTTGCCAAGTCTTTATATAAATCCATGCCAAATTCTGGGCACCTGCTATTTTATTTTGTTTGTTTTAATAACTTGCATCCCCACAAACTTCAATCAGGAAGGTATTTACTAACAGGGATCCATATCTGTTCTACACACATAGCTTGCATCTTGGCACTCAAGACACTAATCAAATGGCAGAGTATTAATTGCACATTTGAATGACTGTGACCCTAAAACAGGGGTAGAAGGCCAGATTTAAGCCTTCTTTCACAAATCATAATACTTCCCCCTTTCATTGAATAAATTTATATACTTCTAGATGATGTCTTCTTTTATTTATACAATACACACAAAAAATTGGACAGTTATATGAATCTAGGAGGTTGAAAACTAAAGGTAAAAGAAGAAACCAAAATACGCCCCTTGCATACTCCAACCGGCCAATCCTCTGGGCGGGCAAGAGGGCCTGGAAAGTTACTGACTGCAGCAGCGTTCCCGCAGCCCCGCGTCCCTGCGCCGCAGCCTCCGGGCGGTAGGGGCCGCTGTGGGGCAGAGCCGGCGGGCGCGTTAGGACACTTTTCCCCGCAGGCGGAGACGAGGCGGCGAGTCGCGGGCGCTGGGAAGAGGTGACTGTGCGGCGGGTGAGCGGCGGGGTTGCCGGTTGGCGGGGCTGGGCGGTTGCCCCACGGCGCGCTCGCTCGTGGCTTTCGCCCTGCGGGCCTCACTCCCAGGAGCGTGGGACTCGGCGGCATTCTGTCGAGCGCCCCGAATCCTCGCCATTCCGGGGCGCCCAGAACCAAGTCTCGGATATCTCTGACCCCGCAGGGCCCATGGCTCGCCTCACGCCAGGAGCCTGACACTCGGCACATCCAAGGACGCCTCCACCTTAACTAAGAACCCTCCCATTTCCTGACAGTTTCTCGGCGCCCTGGCTCACCAAACTGTTTAGGGGAAATGGTGGTGCAGCTGTTTTCACCTGCCGTGCCCCTTCCTTTCTGTAGCCGTTGGCAGCCCTGTGTGCCCCTGCACTGTGGAGCTCAGCTGGATGCAGTTCTGTTTTCTGGAGGCTTGGAAGGCACCCGTCTTTTGAGTCCTAGCCAGCGGTAGTGTAGGTACCACAGAATGGGGAGGGGAGTGGACCCAAATAAAACTTGACAACCCTCAGATTGTCTGCAGCAGCCACTGCCAAAACCTCCTTACTTCAGGACATGGAAATATCCTTCTTACTAGTATCTTTTCTACATTAAAAACAATACAGAATCCTTTTTTTTTTTTTTTTAATTGCAGTGATTACAAGTTTATATTTCTTAAATCTTGGAATAACTTATAACTGCAGAGTCTTGTCAATTTAGGAGTAAGGTGGTAAAGGGGTGGCCTAGGGGTGGGCAGGAAATTGAGAGGCCAGGATATCTCACTCTCCCAGGGTCAATGGCAACAATCTCTGGGTCTAGGTTTCTCTTTGTTTAAAAGAAGAAGTTGGACCAGATGGTGCGGATAACAATAGCTACCATATTGGATATATTGGTGAGAATAATAATAGCTACCATTTATTGAACATACCTTTTAGAAATGTTATCTCATTTAATCCACACAGTAATTGTATGCAATAGATCATACTACCCCCTTTATAAAGGTGAAACGGAGGCCCAGAGAAGTTGTCATTTACTGAAACACATACAACTTATAAATAACAAAGTTGGAATTTGAGGATAGAGTCCCTCAAGATGGCAAGTCCTTTTATTCTTATCTTAAATTTGTTTATTCTAATTTAAATTATTTTAAGGTGTTTTGCCCCAGACTTCAAGTTATTTTCTTAAATAAATAGTGTGAAATAGTGTGATATGTGAAACTAAAACAAGAAGTATATTTGTATCTGATTAAAATATTTTGTCCATTTTATAATTCCCTAAGTCTTTTAAAAGAAAGGCTTTGACCATTGCTAAGGTTCCTTCTCACTAACATTCTATGATTCTGATAATTTATTTTGATATATCTTCTCTTGAGATGCTTATTTAAAAAATGATTATCCCAAGATTAAATTTTCTCCTGAAGTAACTCATATTTATATCTTGGTCTAATTTTCATGTACAATATAATGTAGATAGTCATGCCAATTTTATGCCAGTGAACTGTTTAATGTCAGTTGCCAAATACATTCTGGATCATCCCTCTAAGCAAGAATTTTACTGAAGGAGGGAAAACCATTCAGAAATGACCAGTCCTGATCCTATTTTGGAACATCTTGCACAACCTCACAAACTGTGCATTAATTCCATTGGGGCCACTATTCTTACTCATACTTTGAGGTGTGAATGACTCAGTGGAGTTGTGCAGAGAGACAATCCTTTATCTCTGCTGCTCTCTTTTCCCATCACATATTTCCTTCACAAGAGGTTGGGGAGGAGAAAAAAGTACAAAACTTTTTACCAGGGAGGGATATGAAGTAAATGCAGCTGAGTTTAGATCTTGTTTATAGGCAGGTATGAAAAATTATCTGTTGTGAGTACATGAAACACAGAGTATATTCATGTATTATTATTAATATTCATGCATATTATTTTCAATATGAGCAACTGTAAACCTACTTTTACCCAAGCCTATATAGTGTAGTAGGTAATCCCTAAATTTATAAATGTCCTTTCAGTAACCATTAGCATTGGTTTCCAGCCCAGGTATTCTTTGTCATTCATGGTAAAGAATTTAACTTATACACTGCTTTATTAAGGTGAATGTGAATGTCTGGGGGTTGCAATATAATAACTACTATCTTGATTACTTATTTCCTTGATATATTACAAAGGAAATATAGGGTTTTTGCTAAGGAAAAGAGGAGACTGATGAATTTTACAACTAAAATTATTATAATTCATGTTAGAACACTCTTTTTACATAGTTTTTACAGACATCTGATATAAGTTGAATTTTGTGACATTCAACATCACTACATCTCTTTAATTTTAAAAGTGAAATATTTGTTGGCTCTAATTAGTCTTTTCTCTATATATATTATACGATATATACATATTTGTATACACACACGTATATATACATAACGATATATAAATGAATATATATATATATATTTGGACTTGAGGTGAGAAGTGTTAATCATTATCATCAACACAAAGTATACAAGATAACTGTTCTGAGGACCCTTGTATGCTCTACAATGTGTGCTGTCTATACCTACCTGCCCATTACTTTGTTTTTCTTTCCAGGAAATAATTTTAAACCATAGTCTACTAGATAGCTTTGTTTTAATTACATGCAGCTATGTCTCAATAATTAAAGGAAAATGTTGTTTTTGTCAGTTTCTGGTGAGCATGACTTTTACCCTGTATGTTTGCTTTTTTAGGTCTTAGTAATTTTATCTAATGCCACATCCCAGGCACCTAGCCTAAGCCATCTGGTGACCAACATTTTGACTTATATTCTAAATACATTTGTACATGTTAAGAGAGAAAGGTGAAATGCCAGCAGATTTCATAGAAGAAAATGAAAGCAATAGAAGCAGTAAGTGGTTGCCACAAGAAAGGAGAAATAGCAAAGGAATATAGCATCACTCCCCTCACATTGTCGACATTTTTGAAAGATTGAGCCAAAACTGAAATGGAAGTTAAAGATATTCAGGGACTAAAGCAGAATCATGTGTGAGGTCCCTTTATAGCTGTTTTTGCATGGTATCAAGAAGTTTATACAAGAAATGGGCATGTAAGTAGACTAGTTGTTCTGATGAAAGCATTGGATTTTTTTGTCAACCTTGGGCATGATGAGTTTCAAACAACTGTGTGCTGGCTGAACACATTTTAGGCATGTTAGAGAGTTGTTTCAGAAGATGTCTAATGAAAAAAGCACTGTTTCAGTGGATAAAATTAGTAACTTGCATGCAGAAGAAATTTAAAAAACAACTATTAGTTACAGCTTGAATGATGTTTCAAATGCTGATGAAATTAAGTTTTACAAGTCGTTACCTCATATACTTCATGCCCTAGGTGGATTTTGCAAAAGGAGGTAAACAGAGATTGATGGTTGCTTTGTTCTGCTATAATGCATCCTGGATGGGAAAGATGAGACTGCTTGTCATTGGCAAGTCATTTAACCCTCAGGGCTTCAGAAATGTTCACTTACTGCCCTGTGATTACCAAGCTAACATGCATGCCTGAAGGGTGAGAGATTTATTTAATGAATAGCTGAGAAAGGTTGGCAAGAGAATGAAAGGAGCCAGATGCAATATCCTCTGGATGATAAACAGTTGCTCTGCCCACAACACTCCAATTTGGATCATGCATGTGTTGAGTTTTTCCCATTGAGGTGCACAGCCATTCTGCAGCTATTTGATTAAGATATAATTTGTACAGTGAAAGCTCACTGTGGAAACAACTCTCCTAAATTTAGATGATGAAAGGAAAACAGAAAATAGATTAAACAAGCCATTGGCATGATTGCTGAGACCTGTTGGTCTGTAGAGCCATCCACAGTGGTGAAATGTTGGCAGAAAGCAGGCATGATTCCTGTAGAATCCCCTAAGTTCAATTTGGAAGAAGACCACAAACCAAATGTGGTATTTGAACTTCTCTGGTACTCAATTGCTACTGTCCTGGTCTCCCAAATCAATCTCTCAAAGTTTGATTTTGAGGACTGTGGCTACAGATATCAATTTAACTACCAAGATTTAGCAAATCATAAAATTGCTGCAGGAGTGCTAACTAACATCAAAATAGAATCAGAAAGATGATGATGATGATGATGATAACCATAACATACAAGGGGAACAAGTGATGGAACAGCCAACAGTGAACATTTCCAAAGTCCTTGCAAGTGTAGAAAGTGTTCACCATCCTTCCCCTTAAAGCATATGTTCATGATGAGGTGTTTACCCAGTTAAGTGGGATAGATAGATATTTAGTGACCACTACAACAAAGACTTTTGAAAAAACTGAACTACAATAACTAATAAAGTTGCAAAAACATTGCTTTTATAAAATCTGTAAAATAGAAGACTTAATACTTATATAAACAAAGCCCTAGTGAGTGTTTAAATGTGAATGTTTGACTTTTATTTCATAACATTTACAACATGCTAGAATTGCAGAATTACACCCCCTCCCCACCCTGCCAAAGTTTATTATATTGTCACTAATTTCAGTCTTTATTTGGAAGGTTTCTTTTCCTACCACCTCCCTTCCAAACCTCCCCTCTCCCCCCAGCGTTAGGAATGATAACAATAAGCCTTTGCGTAATAGTACCTAGAAGAGAAGAATATTCACCAAATGTTGCTACTCCAGTTGGGAGAACCAGAAGCCAAAAGACACTTAGATTTAACAATAGATTTAGGGTATTTAAGAGAAAAGAAGATGCTCTTGTTAAGGAGATAGAGCAGTCCTTCCCAGAGGCACATGGGGAGTGAACAAACAGCTGCTTACCCTTACCTCTTGGTACTGGTGCTTGGGCCATTGGAGGGAGGGCAGGGACATGGAGGGAAAGTGGACAGGCTTGAAGCTGTAGGAGAAATTGAACAAGGAATGCTAGTATTTCTCTCAGATTGGTGTCCTGAAAGGGCCATTGGAAGGTGAGAAAGTGAAAGTGGAAGGAAATAGAGAAGGTAGTGGATAACCTACTGGCCACTCCTAGCCTAGTACCTCCTTCATGTAACACAATACAGTGTGATTCAGACCAACAAATGATTTTCTCCAGGCTTCTGTAAGTAGGAAACCAACTTTTGCCCCACCCCCACCCCCTGCTGGTTTGGTCTGAGAGATGAAAAATAAAATAACCATTTTGCCAAACAAAACTTAAAGCACCATTTACAAAGTATGTGTTATACAAAGTAATAAAATAATTGACAATCAATTTTGGTTTATATCTGAAATGGAATTCAAAAAAAGTACAGTTTTTTAAAGAGCATTATAAAAAACCAATCACAAAGGAAAAAAATCTCTATTTTATTTTTAGGTAATAAATCATCATTAGTCAAGATGTCTTCAGCACCCGAGGAACCACCCAAAGAGAAAGATTTTCGAAACCCAGGGCTCAGAGGGGTCCGCACGACTACTTTATTTAGAGCTGTGAATCCAGAGCTCTTCATTAAACCTGTAAGAAATATACATAGGATAAGACTTTATGTTTAATTTAGCGAGGCTGTCAGAAATAGAAAGTTCTTATTTTCCTGTAACATTTAATTTTATCATGAAAATTTTGGGTTGACTATTAAGGCCTCTCTGAATAAATGCAAGTGGAAGGAAATCTTAAATGCTGTTTCATAAATACATATATAAAACGAATTATTTTAAGGGCATTTGAGAACTTTAATGGAAATGGTTGTACTTTCATGGATCAACTTCTCAAATTTCTATTTGAAAATTTTAATAACTATATTAATTTGAAGGAAATGTTTAATGTTTGATCAAATACTACTGAGTACATTAGACTTTCCAGTGAAACAAAGCAAAATGAAAATCGAATCATTATAGACAGTTCCAGCTTTATTAATAATGTTTTTGCCTAAGGCATATTGCAAACATTTTGTGAAAAATTTCAAAATGTACATTTGTGCACTATTAGGGAGTCAGCTAATCATTTATATTTTTAATGCAAATTATTAAATATATTTGATGTGATAAATTTTACTTTTAAATATATACAAATTTTATTTATTATTATTTTTTAATCTTCACTCAAGGACATGTTTATTGATTTTTTTTTTTTTTTTTTTTTTCTTGAGAGACAGAGATAGAGGAGAAAGAGAGAAACATTGATCAGTTGTTTCTTATACGTGCCCCAACCGGTGATTGAACCCAAAATCTAGGTATGTGCCCTGATCGGGAATCAAACCTGCAATCTTTTGGTGTATGGGACAATGCGCCAACCAACTGAGCACCCGGCTAGGGCTATATATTTTATTTTTAAATAAATGTAAATTAAATAAAATTATTATAAAATATATTTAAATGTATTGAATTTTATTAGAATTTTAATAACAGTTGCCATGTGAACTGTTTTTACAGTTAAGTAGATCAGTTTAACAATTAAGTCATTAAATCAAGGTAGATTGTTTTAAAAACTTTGAACTAATAATGTGTTTTTCTTAAAACTAATAATGTGTTTTCTTTGGCATTTCTTAAAATGCCAAATGCATTTTAAGAACTGCATATTTAAACTAGTCTGAGTTTGTGGCCTTTCTTAGATGTCCATCCAAGTGAAAAAGTTTGACCTTTATTCTTTTGATTAAGATTTGAAATAGTAGTAAATAGCAGGTATGGCAACAGAAACAGAATACAAATTGAAACTAATATCGCAACTCTGCTCTCACACTGACCTAAGAAAGGCTCTTTAGTTGAGTGTGAACACTCAAAAAGGAGGGGCTGAGTTCAAGAATAAAGATAAACACTTCTGTGGAGTTAAGAACATCTTTCCTACATTTAAAAACTTTTTTAGCCCTGGCCAGTTTGGCTCAGCGGTTAGAGCGTTGGCCTGCGGTCCAGAGAGACCCGGGTTCGGTTCCCGCTAAGGGCACGTACTTCGGTTGCAGTTTGTCCCCGACCCTGGTTGGTCGTGCGGGTGGCAGCCACTCGATGTGTCCCTTCACGTCGATGTTTCTCTCTCTCTCTCCCTTCCTCTCTCTCCCTCCCACTCTATCTGTACAAAAAAATGGAAAAATATCCTCGGGTGAGGATAAAAAAAAAAAAACTTTTTTAAAAATTCAAAGGTAATCTCTTTGCCTCTTAGTGTCTTGGATTTTCTAGCAGAAAATCAATGTTATTATAACAGCATCGTTTCTGTTCGTCACTGAATTTCTTGAGGTGATAGAATAGGTTCTCAGAGAAGAGTGTATACATTGCCCTTTTTGCTGTACTTAACATATGACATAAAAGGTTTTTGCCATGAACTCAGAAAAGAATAGCATGTATACTTTGTTCCTCACTCCTAATAAAATTAACTAATTTAAGGAAGTTAAGCATCTTCTCCATGTCATACAGATAACTCTGAAAACTTGAACACAGAACCAATTTCCCTATCTCTTGTATCCTCTGCTCCTCTCCCAGCCATCACCTTCCTGAAGGTGGAGGTCTGAGATATCCAGGCTATAGGTAGAAAAAGTCTGGAGAGGAGAAACAAGAGTCTTCTATTATCAGGAGTTGAGTTAATTAAATAAAGAACTAGATAAATTATTATAATTGAAAATAGCAAAAGAATGCTAGTGTGATAATAAAGACCTGGTTTGTCCAGAGGAAAATGCAACAGATATTTGGATCTCCTCAAATTTTTAGTCTTAATGAGGCTTTGTATTTTTTTTTCTTTGACAGAACAAACCTGTAATGGCTTTCGGATTGATAACCCTTTCCCTATGTGTGGCTTATATTGGTTATCTACATGCGACACAAGAGAATAAAAAGGACCTCTATGAAGCTATTGATAGTGAGGGACACAGTTATATGAGGAGGAAAACATCTAAATGGGATTAATGGTTCTGGGTACTATGGATGGAGCTATATTAAAGACTCTGGAATCATCAAATGATAGACTGAAAATGTACAATATCATGTTTCTTGTGCAGTTGCATTCAAACCACTGCAGTACATTTTTTTTTTTTTTACATCTGCAGCCATTATCTTATTCTTTTTCCACAGGAAGCTTCTCACTGTATTTTTAAAAATTAAATTATCTTATAAAAGTGCCATGAGAATGGAAGTCATTTTTGTTAATTATTGCGTTCTATGTAATAAAAGTACCCAGTGTTGTTAAATTTGCATGGTATTTTTTTTTTTATTATTGAAGGTATTTCAGATGTTCTCCTTTTTTCCCCAGTGACCCCCTCCTTCCCACTCCCACTCCACTCCTGCCTTCCCCAGCCTAGTGTTCGTGTCAATTGGTGGTGCATATATTTATATAAGTTCTTTGGTTTATCTCTTCCCACCCCCCATCCCTCTGAGGTTTGTCGCTCTGTTCCCTACTTCTGTGATTCTGGATCTCTTTTGGTCAAGGGCTTATTTTGTTCGTTATGTTCCACAAATAAGTGAGATCATGTGGTATTTGTCTTTCTCTGATTGGCTTATTTCGCTCAGCATAATACTCTCCAGGTCCCTCCATGTCATCTCAAAGGATAAGAGATCTCTCTTTTTTACAGCTGCATAGTATTTCATTGTGCATATGTACCACAGCTTTTTTTTTTATTATTATCATTAATCCTCACCCGAGGACATTTTTTCATTTTTTGTTCAGATAGAGTGGGAGGGAGAGAGAGAAACATTGATGTGAAAGGACACATCGAGTGGCTGCCACCCACACAACCAACCAGGGCCGGGGATAAACTGCAACCAAGGTACGTGCCCTTAGCGGGATCTGAACCCGGGTCTCTCTGGACCGCAGGCCGAAGCTCTAACTGCTGAGCCAAACCCGCCAGGGCTGTACCACAGCTTTTTTATCTACTCGTCTGCTGATGGGCACTTGGGCTGTTTCCAGATCTTAGCTATTGTAAGTAGCACTGCTGTGAACGTAGGGGTGTATATATTCTTCCTGATTGCTGTTCTTAGGATATATTCCAAGAAGTGGGATCACTGGGTCAAATGGCATCACAGATGGTTCATATATTTTGGTTTTCCATTTTAGCTATTTTTGGTTCAGAATTTTATTTTACTTGAAAAAATACTCCCACTCAACTACTAAAATCAGGATTAAATGAGAGAATAACCCAAAGTAATTGCAGTTTTTCTTTAAAAAGTATGTTATAATGAGGTATGATGCTTTTATTTGACTACAACTGTTATCTATTTTAGTTTTTGTAAATTAATGTTACAATGATATGATAAACACAAGACCAAATGTTCTTATAGTTATTTAAAAACTAGAACTACTCAGTAAGTAGATAAGAAGATCTCTTTACTGTCCTGGGTTTACCTTATATAATTTAAATTTTTCTAAGGGTTTTTGGACCTGTTTAATTTCTAGATATTTACCTCATTCTCCAAACCATTGTAATTAGGACTCAGTAATAAATCTCATATCTGAAATTTTATTTCATTTCTTATTACCAAGAAATAATAACTACACAAGCAGAGTTTACCATCATAATGTGTTTTTAATTTCCAGAGCTTTATTGTGGTTTTGTAAAGATACATGAAAATGCAATTATGTTTGATTTGTAGATGTTAAAGAGCTTAGCTAATTGAGTTATCTATATGCAACTAAATTAAATCTTCACTACTGAGCCCTAAATATTTTTTGCTATGTCTCTCTATATGGTACACTTTATATAGTTTAAAATGCACTTAGATGGTATAAAATACCTTTTAATTTAAAGTATTATCTTTTGCTTTGGTTTTTCTGCAGACTTTGGTTATTAGTGAACTTAAATTCTCTTTTCAACATATACATTGTCCTGGCCAGTTTGGCTCAGCGGTTAGAGCATCAGCCTGTGGTTCAGAGAGACCTAGGTTCAGTTCCCGCTAAGGACACGTGCCTTGGTTGCAGTTTGTTCCTGGCCCTGGCTGGGTTATGCGGGAGGCAGCCACTTGATGTGTCCCTTTCACATCGATGTTTCTCTCTCTCTCCCTCCCATTCTATCTGAACAAAAAATGGAAAAAATGTCCTCGGGTGAGGATAAAAAATACACACACACACACATTTAGTATCATCCCATTATCACCTTTTAGAATTATTCTAGTATTCTACAAAAGAAGTTGATATTTGGTGGGGGAGATATTGGTTAGGTGAACTATCAAGAGATTATCGCAGCACAGAAGGGTAGCAGGAACTGCGCAGAGTGCAGCCTTCAGCCATGTGACATCTCAGTGAATGAACCAGGGTAGCAGTCGATTCGGTGAAGCGTGGGGCTGTGAAAGAAAAATAGTGGGAGGGAAAAATCACACTGAATTTTAGGAATGAGTGCCTAATATGATGCCTTTTAGAGTATGGTTACAGCTATGGCATAGTCTGTGTGTGTGGAGTATAAAAACTGGCCGCCCATCCAGTGCGGCTCAGTGGATTGAGCTTTGTCCCCTGGACTGAGAGGTCCTGGTTTGATTCCTGGTCAGGTCACTTGCCAGGGTTTCGGGCTCGATCCCCAGTGGGGGGCGTGCAGGAGGCAGCTGATCGATTTGTATCTCTCATATTGATGTTATCTCTCCCTCTCTCTCTAAAAAGTCAATTAAAAATATTTTTAAATAATTAAAAAAAAAAGACTGCCTGGCTGTGTGTTGATGTTTTTATTCATTCTCTAAGGGAAATTGCCACCTTGACAAAGTCAGTTGTGTTTAAGAGGGGATGGTCAGGGCATGGTATTGACATTTTGGAGTGTGGGTTCAAGTAGTTAAAGGAAGGTCTTTTAATGTGGGACTCTGGCTGAGACTGAGCAAAACTCGGTAACAGATTAGGTCTTGAAGCAAATCTTAATAAGTAGACTATTGATTGATAAGCAGCAAGAGACCTTTTTGTCCAGGGAGTCATTCTGTTCTGATAGCGGAGCTATTTGCCCTGAGGAGCAAACTGTTCAATTGATAAACTGGTTTTCAAGAATTTCCCGAAGCAAACAGTTAAATTATTTATTGGTTTATAGACTTATATTTCATAGGGTAACCAATCTGTCCCAGTTTGTCAGGCACTAGGAGAGTTCTTGGGATGTAAGGTTTTCCCATTTTAAAAAAGGACAATAAATTATTTAACTGTGATTTTTAAAACCAGACCTAGTCATTTTGAGTGCTGACTTAATGAAAGTAATTTTTTCTTTAAACTGCTGTGATATTTCCCAGTTTTATTGCCATGGCATCAAAACCACATTTATAGATAACCTGGAAAAAAAATTAAACTCCTCCTTTGCTGGCCTAAAAAGAAGAAATTCCTTAAATAAACCATTTAAAACAAAATGTGGTGGGCTGAATAATGCTCCCATTCCCCACCCCACCTCCAAAGATGTTCGCGTCCTAATCCCTGGAACCTGTGAATCTGTTACCTTGTATGGCAACAGGGACTTTGCAGATATGATTAAGATAAGGATTTTGAGATGTGGAAATTATCCTTTATTTTCTGGGTAGGCTTGACAGAATCGCAGAGACCCTTGAGGTCCTTACAAGAGGGCAGAGGATCGGAGGAAGAAGCCATGTCACCATGCAGGCAGGAGAGAAAGGCTACATGATGCGGGGCCGTGAGCCACGGAATGTATGTGGCCGATAGAAGTTGGAAAAGGCAAGGAAATAGTCTCCCCTCAGGCCCTGCTGACACCTTAATTTTAGGCCCCTACGACTCACTTTGGACTTCTGACCTGCAGAACTGCAAGAGAATAAATCTATGTTGTTTTAAACCACTATGTGGTAAGTTGTTACATCAGCGATAAGAAACTAATACAGAAAGTATGTGGGGAAGAAATGGCTGTACCATGCTATACTTTTGTCATTTCTAGTTGCTTTTATGAGCAAAGCTTGTCTTCCCTAGCAACAGTTGCTAAGTAAGTTAACAATTTAATGCTAGTGTCCAGGAGGGAGCAGCTGCTTAAATCTTCCCAAACCCAGTGCCCATACCTTACATGAGAGGCTTTCAGTAACTTTCTTAGCATTAGGAGCATAACCACTACCTAATCATGGTGAATCAGATCTTTCTTACTGGCCTCTAGCATTATCCTAAAACCTTGAACCTCTCTAAACATCTAGCTTTTCTCAAAACAAAGACATCTGAAATTTAATTATGATCAGTAATTCAACTTACACCGACTTTGTTTGCTGTGCCGTTTGTAATAAAATAATTCCACCAGCACCTTTAGGGGAAATCTTCAAACAGATCCATGAATACAAGCCATTTAAGACTCGCTTTTACACTCATAGAGATATACTGGGTAAGTGACTTTGCTGTTTTCTTTTGTTCTAATGTTTCATAGCATTGTGTGTCTTTCTTCCTGTAATATACACTTTTATCAGCTTTTCTAATCAAAGTTGCTTGTCCTTCAGGGGTGTCTGTCATGAGAAATCCATCTTCTCCACTTAGCATTTGTGTGCCTTGGACAGGATACTTAGCCTCTTAGTCTGTGAACTTGTATGTAAATAGGGATGTTAATAAATATCTTGCAGGTTTATTATGAGGCTTTAAAGAAATACAGCGTTGGGCAAAAGTGGGTTTACAGTTGTGAGTATGTGAAATACTTTATTTTTGTATTTTTTTTTATTAATTATTGTGTTATTTTCCATATTAACAACTGTAAACTCACATTTGTCCCACCCTATATGTGTGCCTCTTATAATGCCTGGCACATAATAGTAAATGGGAACTCTTTATGCCTTGCCCACACTTGGGCACTTTCCGTACACACATGAGAGGAAATATCCTTAATTCCTCAATAAATGGGTGACAGAAACTACAACTATATTAGTAGCTAGTGACATGAATGTAGATCCATATAGATAATATGAGAATATTTACTACATATACACTTGTAATAAGCAAATCAAATTGTAATTAATAGGTTTCCTTCTTTCCTCATTCCCATCAGAGTTTTCAGTCTGACTTGGAACCTTAGAAATGTTTTCCTAAGGACTCTCAAAATATTCCTCTGATTATTTTTTCCCTCTAGCATGGTAAACTAGTGGTGATTTCATTTCACTCCTGATCTCTGAAAATAGAAAAGCTAGAGAATGGAGGGTGTTTTGAAAAAACTAAAATGTAAGGGGAGATCAAGTTGGAATCATCCTCTAAAAATATCAATACCAAAACTGATTTTAACTTTAATAAATGTTTAATATGACTCATTAACTATAATCTCTAAAACGACCTGACTTTTTACATCCAGGACAGTGGATATCTGTTCTTAGATAAGCTTTTATTGATTGATTCCTTATACCTTCTAGGATATTTGAATCCAAACATTAATTGGATAAATTAAATCTAACTCGTTAAAATTAATCTTTTATATTCAATGACCTGTATTTATTATTAACTATTTTAAGTAAAAAAAGTCAGTATTTTCTATTCTTTATAAGTAAATTCAAAGGCATGTTGAAATGTCTACATAAATGAGTATTGCATAGGGTTTTTACTACAAATATAGACTCAATGGATTTGAACTAATCCAACACAGACCCACTAAATTAGAATCTTTAGAATCAGGTCTCAGCATGTGTTGTTTTTATTTTATTTATTGACTGATTGATTTCAGAGGGGGAGAGAGGGAGAGCGAGAGAAACATCAATTTGTTATTCCACTTATTTATGCATTCATTGGTTGTTTTTATGTGTGCCCTGACTGGAGATTGAACCCAAAACCTTGGCATATCAGAATGATGCTCTAACCAACTGAGCTATCCGGCCAGGGCCTATTTTTAAAAATATTTTTACATATTTTAATAGCTTTTTATTTGGAAGTAGTTTAAGACCCACAAGTTTTAAATATAGGCCCTGGCCAGTTTGGCTCAGCGGTTAGAGTGTCAGCCTACAGTCCAGAGAGACCTGGGTTCAGTTCCGTCTGGGGCACGTACCTCGGTTGCAGTTTGTCCCTGGCCCTGGTTGGTCGTGCGGGTGGCAGCTACTCGATGTGTCCCTTTCTCGTCGATGTTTCTCTCTCTTCCCACTCTATCTGAACAAAAAATGGAAAAATGTCCTTAGGTGAGGATAAAAAAAAAAGAACAGACTTCCCATATACACCTTGTCCAGATTATTTTATTGAAATTTTATATAACGCTAGTACATTGTCAAAACTAGGAAATTGGTATTGGAACAGTACAATCAACTCAGGCACAGGCCTTATATGCGCCACCCCCACCCTCCGCTCCCTGTGCATCTGTGCACCTTGGTGAATAGTTTCAGGAAATTTATCACGTAGCTACCCTGAAGTGAGAGAGGAACGTTCTTGAGAGGAATGGGTCTTGTTACCAGAGGGAGAGAAGAGATGTTGGACAGGCAAATACCTGAGTCTGCAGTGTCTCATCTGTGCTTGTTGCCAAGCTAGGCCCGATGAGAGAGAACACTGCAGTGTAAGATGTGCTTTGTAATTTTAGGAAGTTGATCATCAAGACCTAATAACATGAAAAGTTAATAATTCAACAAATCTTAGATGTGAGGAATGAATGGAATAAAGAATAAACACTGTAGCCCGGCCAGTATGGCTCAGTGGATTGAGACTTATTTAGTTCCCATGGACCAAGAGGTCCCAGTTCAATTTCTGATCAGGGCGCATGCTGGGGTTTCAGGCTTGCTCCCCAGTAGGAGGTGTGCAGGAGGCAGCCAATCAATGTATTTCTCTCACATCGATATTTCTATCTCTCCCTTCCTCTCTCTCTCTCTAACAAAATTAATAAAAAAACATTTTTTAAAAAAGAATAAACACTGTAATAGTTTGGATTGGAGAGAAAGATCTCTGTGTGTGGTTTCAGCACTTATAGGGCTCATCATCCCTATACAGGTCATGGGTCACCACTGACAACACACTGTGGTGGGAGAAGATGAAGAAAACCCTGTATCCAGTGAGCTCAGGACTTGGCTCCAGGTCCATCTCTGTCCTTGGCTATCTGATATTGTGTGGGCCTCTAACCCCTAGGCTTTTATTTCCTTGATTGGGTAGGGAGGGTGTTATGGGAATATTATTTGGAAATTAAATTAGATTGTTGATGGAGAAGTGCTATAAACTACCACCCCTTAACTCACTCCACAACTGAAGCAGCTAAACCCAAGAAATGTTACACACTAAGGGAAGGCATGTAAAGTATTAAAGCATTCTGCTACCACTGGGTGGGTGGGGGTAACACCAACACCCAGATAGGAGCAGGGAGAAAGGAGCTAGAATATGCACTTACTATTCTACTTTGGGAGCACAAAATGTGCTCTTTCCTGCCCCCTTACTTCCCTGTTGCCCACCTGCTGGACTTGCATCACATCACTGATTCCATCAGGCCTGACGGTGCTGTGCATGCCCTCCTAACCAACTGGGAAACAACTTACCCCTTTCACTGTTATCTTTATAGAGAAGATTATCACCTAAAATGATGTATATCTCTTCGATGACTAATAAATGACTAGATCATAGTAAAATGGGAATCCAAGAAACATCTGTGAACACGTGATTATTTCTCTTCAAATACACAGACATTGGGGCAGATATTTTGAATAAAGAAGAACTATTTCAAGAGGCTATACTCAAAGAACGTATTGAAAAAGCAAAAGCGGATGTGTGGGCTAAGGTAAAAAGCTACTAATCAAGCTAAATGCACCTTTCTTTCACTGTTTGGATTTGTTCAAAATAATATAGTCAGGTAGAACTGATGTTGAATCCTGGCTACCTGTGGAACCTTGGGCAAGGTCTTCAACTCTATAGTCTTGGCTTCTTCAAATGTAAAAGAAGAACCATAATACCCCCTTTATAGGATGGTCAAGAGGCAAATGAAATAATGTCACTGGTACACAGTAGGTGATTACTAAGAAGCAGGCATCATCAAGAGCTTCATTCCTTCTAAGTTGCCCCTATGTCTGGAATACTGCTGCTCTCTTGATTCTCATTGGATTAAAACTTAAAAGGAGACGTCCTTGTTTATTACTGCTTAATATCTAACATGTGAGACCATCCATTTGTGCAGTAACACGTGCCTGTTTTTTCAAATGCTTCATTATGGCTACTCTCCTTTTTACCTTTCTCCTTGCTCTCCTTGTCCATGTGACTGCTGAGGGTTGTAGGGGCCATTTGAGTATGTTGGGGCTCACAATTAGATCCCAGACACTTAACAGAAGCAACATCTCAATCATCCAGCCCCTACTTCTTCCAGTCATAGACAGAATGACAGAATGACTTCCTAAAGAGAATTAATGCTCCTTGAGAGCAGGAGAAGCCACCGTGCTTAGAATGCTATTTCTCAGTTTCCTTATAAAATAGTTATCATGGCAGAAAGTGTTGGAATTGTCCAACATTGGTGCCAGTAAAAGCTCAGTATGAAACTGTGCAAGTCCAAAATGCTTCAGTGCAAAGGGCAATATATGTAACATCTTAGTAGTCATCTGTTTTTATCAATGGTAATAAAATTTAATTGATTGTGAATAATTAATTATAAACCCTGATACAAGGGCATGCTTTTGTGGGTAATCTGCAATTTCAATATAAGTAATCTAATATTCTGGGCATGCTCTTAAAATAAAATTATAAATTCTTTCTGAAGACCTGATGCAGGGGATCTGGGATGGTACTCAGTCCCCCTTCTCAGTAATTTCTAGCTTGGTGCATCTTTCCACTTCTCTGTATTTTTCAGATTTTCTGCAATGAGCACACATTACTTTTATAGTCAAAATAAGCAAGAAATAGAGAGACGAAGAAAAACAGCCCCAAGCCTCCAGCACAGCTCTCTAGCAATTCCTCAACTGCGACATTAGTCATGGGTTGGCGCATGTGGGCATCTGGCTGAGGCAGCGAGTCTAGGGGAGGTTTGAGATGGGTACGGAGCAAGTCATTTGAGGCCCCATGGTGCTTGCTAATTTTCAGTAAACATAAAAACGTGACATTAATAAATTAATGGACTCTTTTCTTTCAAAGGCCGATGAACTCCAAAAACAAGCAGTGGAGAAAGCACTCGAAGAAGCAAATGACAGACATAAGATTAAAATTCAGATTCTGGAAGAGGAACATCAAAAACATTTAAAGGTTTTTATAGTGGCTGGTTTGTTGTCTTTTAAAAGGTTACTAGAAAGCTCGGGCAAGGGAATAAGTGAAAAGCAATAATGTGTAAGGGGTAGATGGGTGTTTCTGGGGGAAGGTTGGGAGACCCAGGAAGGTCACAGAGAGATGATGAATACTCAGCAGGTGCAGGAGAGCCCCATGGGCTCTGACGTAACTAATCTAAACCTTAGAGGCTCCAAGGCCTGAAAGAGCCACATCTGCCTGCCTGACCCACATCTCTCACCACTTGTCCTCTTTCCCTCCTCCCACTGCCCTTTGCTGGGTCCTTGGACCTGAATGCACCACCGTGTGCCTTCTTACCTGAGTGTCTTTGCCAGAATGTTCTCTGCATGCTCAGATTTAGCTCGAACATCACTCACAAGAAGCTTTACCTGACCATACACTGTTCTTGACTCCCCGTCTGCTTTCACAGTAGTCCCCACCCATCACAGTTGTCGTGAGATTGTGTGACCGCTGGTTTGGTGTTGGGTCCCCACGTGACTGCAGCCTCCGTGAGGGCACATCGGTCTCCTTACTATAATCTAGCCCAGCATTCAGCGCAGTGCCTCAATTTAGCAAGTGCGCAAAGAGGTTAAACAAAGGAAGTGGGCTGTCTCCTTCCCCTGGGCTCTGGTTTCCTCCTTTTACTGAAGTCTGCATTTCCTGCAGTGCAAGGGGGAGCCCGGAGCTGTTTGTCAGGCATTTCCTTCCAGACCAGAGGTCATACAGTGAGGGGTACTCTTTCTCGCTTGTTCAGGTCCAGGAGTGCAGGTAGTTGTGGACGTTCCAGGCAGAGGCCCAGGGACTCATTATTTAGTTCAGTGCCTCAGCTACAAAACCTGCTGGAAGGAAAGGGTATGTTGGCCACAGGAGGGACAGGCCAGGACACAGTGCAGATGTATTCATTCGTGGGCAGAGGCTAGAGGGAGAGAGGCAGAATTCTGGTTTCAGGTTTTGCCTAATTTAATAAGAACATAACTAATGCCCGGCTGGTGTAGCTCAGTGGATTGGGCATGGTCCTATGGACTGAGAGGTCCCGGTTGGATTCCTGGTCAGGGCACATGCCTGGGTTGCAGGCTCGATCCCCAGTGGGGGGTGTGCAGGAGGTAGCTGATAGATGTTTTTCTCTCACATCAGTGTTTCTCTCTCTCTATCTACCTTCTTCTCTCTCTAAAAGTTCAATAATAATAATAATAATAATAATAATAATAATAAAAGAACATAACTAATGAGTTTGGGACACTGGGCCCATTTATTCATTGTTTCGGCAGTGAGCACCGACCTTAAATCAGATCTGTACTAGGTGAGATTAAACGAACTGTTCTTGTCCTCAGAAAACTTGCCGGGAGGAGAGGCAGTTCCGCTCCGTGGTTCCTAAAGGGCCCTGGGACCCTCCCTGCTTGGCACCAGTGGCCAGGGTCCCTGAGGAGTTGGGTGCTCGTGGCCCACTGCTCCTCCCCTATTTCAGTTCAAAGTGTGGAGCATTTATAGCATGTGTCGGAAGGCCCGCGTTTCAGCTGGCATGTCCAGTATGGCCACACTGGCTCTTAAAGTACTGAAATACTTCCCTGTCAGTTGATGAACACCCAAACCCACTCATACCTCGGTCACCCTGGTTGTTCCCCACCTGGCCCTTGGATCTCCCCCAATCCAGCAAGTTAAAGGGGCAACACTTTAAATTGGTAGGTGCACGAGGACCCTGCCCCAGGCTTGCAGTGAGTGGAGGCACATTTGGCCTATCACTCCTGGCATTTGGTTGTAGAGACACAACGATAAATGTGATGCCTGTTTCAAGGAGCTCACCGCCTAGTCTTTCTTGAAGTATTTTATTGTACCCCATATAGCCTTTGGGTAGGGTTAATACACTTCATATTAAAATAGAAGTTCAAAGAACATTTAAAAGGGAAAAGTTAGAGAGAGGTTGACTTTTCTAAACTATTTGTCTAGGGTTTGGGAGTTTACATTTGTACTGCTGTCTCAGGGAGTTTTTTAATATAATGAAGGAGTGGTTTGTCTAAGAGGGATGTGTAGGGTTATGTAAGCTGTCATAGACATCAGTACTCAGGAGGTGTCCATGAACCCCCTGCCTTAGAATCGACTCACCTGACAGATTCCCAGGCCCTCCTGACCTCAGAGTCACTGGTCGTGTTTTGAACCAGCAGCCTATATAATTCTCGCATATTAAAATTTGAGATTACCAATAAATAGAGCAGAAAATCAAGTTCTTTAGAACTAAGTACCATTAAAATTCTTACCTGTAGAGACCACCAGATATTGCTGTAATCTGATGTAAAGGATTGGGGGTAAGTCTCAAATGCTTGATGTTAAATAAAAAATAAAACTTCAAGATCTTATCTCATGGAGATAGTATTTTGAAAAAGTGTTTCTATTCTCTTATTTAAATACAATATTAAAGAGTAAATGAGAAAATGGGAGCCAACAGAAAAGAAGAAAAGAAAAATTCGAGTAAGAATTTTAATGAAGTCTGGTACATTTAAAAGTAAAAAATGTTAGTGCGCCATGAAGTCCTGTGCTTTAACACTGATTGGGCCCCACGCTTCCTGGCAGTCTGTGTGCGGAAGAAAATGCCATGAATCACCACATCTGTGAGGTAAAAAGAAATCGGGTACTCAGAGAGGCCCAGATAGTTCCACATGTGATACCTAAGAGAGACTTTTTTGGAGGGAGACGTTGTGTTATGTGTTTGTCAAATATCTGTGCAGGAAACATGATGGATTTCTCAAAATTATAATATCTCTTATCTTTAAATGCCCTCAAAATGCATTTTGGTGAAAGTACTTTAATCAGAGGACTTTCCATTGAGTAAGAACAGTGCCAAACAGTAGGTTCTTGAATTATTTTTGTAACTTTAAATATGAATTCCACATGCTATGTGAGGCAGTAAAATGATTTGGGTTTTACTAAATTATTATATGAAAGAGAGGCTGGGTTTAATTATCTGAATCCTAATTCAGAACCCAGCCAAAATAAAGGGCTGGGATGTCATTTTTAAATTCTATGATTCATATAGAAATGTGTGCTAATAACACCTAATCTGAGGCTCAATACTCAGCAATTTCAATTACTGAAAATATTATTTCAGGGAAAACCCAGAAATAATTTTAAATAGCCCCTAAGAAGTTCAATGAAGGCCTCTGATTATAAGATAGCCATTCAGGCTTATTACCCATAGCACAGCCTCTCTTTTTCCCACTCAAATGGTATTTACACTTTCTTGACAACCTGAACTCAACAGGCATGGTTTGTTTGCATTTATTAATCCAAAATAGATTAAATGCCAGAAACTAGAAATGACATAAAGGAGCTCACCAACACCAGTGAGAACAGAGAGTACCTAGCCCAATGACATGTGAAGAACAAGAAAAATTACAAAACTTCTATAGCAAATCTAAAAAAGCAAAGCAGTCTGGGGTAATATATAACAGAGACAAATAGCCCTATGAACTTGTACGATTACTAAGCACAGTATAAAGTATTTAGCCCAGTGCAATCATTCACCTCTATCTACTAGCCTGGAGCATCAAGAAATGTTCAGGTGTGCTCACTTGTATTTATGAAGTAAGGTCAGTGTTGAAGACATTTAGAAATATTTCCATTCAAAATATTTTATTATCAAAAAGTTCTGGTGCTTTAAGAGACAACGTATTTCTAAACAGCCAGTGTTTCCCAAAAAAGATTTTCTAACTATATGTACTAAGGCCACTCTGAAGAGATTCTTAAAGTTGATTTCTGTTGTCTTTTTCATAAAAAAAAGAAAAAAAATTGTTTTCACCCTTAGAATAGCCAAAATGATAAGTCGAAAACTTACTTTCTCTTGAAAAAGCTGAACTCTAATTAAATATTTTAATTGTTGGAAGGTTGCTTTCTGAAAAGCTAAAATGAGAGAGAGAGAGGGAGCTCACTGTAGTGCAATCTTACAAGACTACAGGATTTCTGGAATGAAAATAATTGCATGGATCTCTTGGAAAACATTGACATCATAGTCAGCAATGAAGTGAGAAGCTGGAGTCAAGGCTCCTGCTTTCTCTTCCTAGTTCATCCACTGACTCTCTATGTGAAATAATTTTTTTATCTTCTCTCATTATATCTACAATAAAGATTAAAATTTACCTTTAAATGAAAGTTTTGAAATTCCTAGCCAGAATTTATTGCTCCTGCATTTTTGTATGTATTTCTACTAAATCACTCATTGCATGATGAAGTTGTTGGTCTCGTCCACGAGTCCCAAGGAGGAGGATTCCAGCCTTGTCGTGTCTGTAGCATCTGGGCCCCGCAGAGCTCCTGGCACACTGAGGACGTAGCGGGCATTTCCAAAATGGTGGCAGGGTTCTCCTTGAGAGTCTGGTCTCCTGAAGTCCTGTTTGTACCTCCTCTGTTGACTTGGCCAAAGGCACCCACAGGTCCTTCTACCCCAGAGCAATGGAAGCTTGATCCTGTTCCCTTGGTGAACGAGACAGGCCCCTCAACACTAACGACCAGGGGACTGGCAGGCAGGTTCTGTGACTGCAGTAATGTTCAGCTGTTAGCTGCATGAGACACTCAGGAGGCATAGTTATTATTTCTGCCACTTCCCAGGACTTACTTCTTAAAGTAGAATCATACTATGTATTTCTAATTATGCACAAAGATAAAATGACATTGTAGAATATTTACATAATCAAGGAAATAAATAGCTCTAATTCAACTATTTTCCCTTTCTGCACATTCCTTTCCAAAACTGTCTATATAAGTCTTTATGCTATATGGTTTGCATGTTTCTGGTTTTACTTGGCGTCATACAAATGAAAGTTTTCTATGTTATACCCACTATTTTTTTTTAAGCCATCAGTGTTTGTAGGTACACATTTCATCAGGCTGTTGAGCTGTGATTTGAATAACTTCTTAGTGTGCATTTTTAGCTTCCAAACCTAGTTTTGTTGTTGCTTAAGGAAATGGCAGCTAAAACCAAGGAAGAGGTACATCGTGACATAGAAGACGGACTAAAGAGAGAAAACCTGGCCGCAGAACAACGTATGGTACATAGAATCCAAAGGATCATGATGGAGTGCCACAAGGAAAAGATCCAGGCTGTGGAGAAGGCCAGGGCTGAAGAGAGACGCATAGCCCAGAAAGCTATCCTGGCCCAGAGAAGGTATCCCAGAGAACACACTTGCAAATTAGTATCTTGCTCTGTCAAAGTCAACTTTGAGAAAAGGATAATATGAGGCACACAAGTGGATATTTCCCAGTTTTTGTGTTTTTACATTATGGAATATATCAAACAGAGAGAACAATATATAATGCATTGGAGAGAGAGGGGGGTGTTTTAAAAATAATAACATTACTCAAGGACCCACCACCCATCTAAAGGGGTTGGACGTTGGTAACACTTCTGAAGCTCCATGTGTTCTTCGTCAGTCACATTTCCTTCCTCTCAAAAAATAACTGCTGTCCTAAGTATTGCTTTTCATTCTGTATCCAGTTTTTTGTTGTTGTTAATCCTCACCTGAGGATATTTTTTTTCCATTGATTTTCAGAGAGAGTGGAAAAGGGGGTGGGGGGAGAGAAAGAAGCATCGATGTGAGAGGGACACATCCATCGGTTGCTTCCCACACAACCCCTACTGGGCCCAGGGATTGAACCTGCAACCCAGGTACGTGCCCCTGACCAGAACTGAACTGGTGACCCTTCTGTCCAAGGGCCTATGCTCTAACCACTGAGACAGACTTGTCAGGGCTGTATCCAGTTTTAAGAGGCTGAGGAGAGGAATTAAGAAAGATGTTTTCCGCAAACACATAAAAGTCAATCTTTACATTTTTTAGCCTATAACACACACTATTGTGGATGTGTGACTTTTGGTCTTTTTCTTATTGCACAAGTAGTATGTGTTGTAAATGAAATTGACATTATGAAAATATATAGAGCAAATTTCTAAGTCCTGACTCACTGGTTCTCTACCCTTCCCTGTCAGCCAGAGACAACAATTTTAAATAATGGGGTCTGTATCTTTTCATGCCCTTCTGATGTATTTGCAACCTTATATATGTGCACAATCACACATAGTTTTTACATAAATCACAGATGTATTTTTTTAAGAATACCAAAGTAACCATTTTTATGTATGTAATGAACATTTGATGGAATTAGCTAATTTTAACAAGACAGCAGTGATTATCAGGACCAAGAGAAAACCACAGTTTCTGCATGTTAAATGACCTGCCTAAGTCTGTAGCACCAGAACGAGACTAAAACCTCTGTATTTGGCCTCCTAGTCTAGAACTAATCTCTTTTGCTTTGCTTCTTGAGTTAAACAAATTGATTTTTATATAACTAACAGGTAAAATCTTTCTTGTTAGGACTGTTTAGAACAAAGCCAAAGGTTAAAATCCTGTAGGATTCTCACTTTGCAGGTAAATAAGAACGAGGGCTGCAGCTGTGGCCGTTTCAGTGGTACCTCTCTTCTTGCATGGGTGATAAATCATTGTTGAGATAGAAGAGGAAGGTGAAAGAGGATTTCAGGGGAAAGTTAGAGAGGGTGGTAACTCCCAAATGAGTGTGGCCCAAATGCAGTGGACAGTGGTCTCCTCCCCTCCCTGCTCCTCCCCAGCCTCCATCTGCAGGAGCTCTGCCCATCCTGTAGGACCAGTGGGCTCACTCCTCACACACCTGCAGCTTCTGCTCCTTCCCTCACTGTGTTGCTCTCGCCCCTCACCCCCATTTTCTCTGTGAGGTTTGAATGAAAGATTTTCAGTGGCCCCCTTTTATTGAATCAGTTGACTACAGTTAGGGAACTTCCATGCCTGTGGTTTAAGTGTATCCAACTGGAATGTCCATTTTGTTCATTGATGTGTTCCAAATGCCTGGAAGAGAGCCTGACTATGATAGACATTCTTTAGATATTTATTAACAAAGGTTCAAATTTGTTCCAGTCAGGTGAACCCACGTGCAGCACACCAGATCTTATTTCTAGACATTGTGAGATTCCAGTGTTCTTTGGAGCATTTGCAGAAACTAATATATACAGAAGGACCACTGTTTAGAATTCCACCTGTAGACCTTTTATTTGGCTATAAAATTTCATTTAAGACTTAAGGATTCAGAACTCTTACATATTATGACAAATCTATTAAATACACAGAAAACTTTTTTATGGATTGAGGTGATTAGATTCTAAACAGATTATCTAGGAGATATACTCTTTCAGAAGTTTTTTTGTTTAAACAAAGAAACATCTTTGCTTGGAAAGGTTCTATACAAAGAAGTATAGACATTCACTTCACTTTGGGAGGGGTGTTGGAGGTCATCAGGTTGACCTGCCATCCATCCCTCCTGCTGGATGCCTGCCAAGATTGTTGAGTCTCCTAAGTACCTTCCGCGACAGGAGCTTCATGGCTGGTTGAGGTGATTCAAATGTGGAACACCTCTACCTGTCATGTGCTTCTTAAAGTGGATCCAAAATATACTATCTGTCCTCTGTGCACAGTGGTCCCTCAGATATTTGAGGAGAGATGTTGTCCAAGCTTTAGTGTGAAGGGAAGGAAAAACAAGTAAGTACTAGTAAACCAGTTGCTTCAGTCCTTCATATGATATGATTTCTAGGCCCATTTTGGGGGGTGGCGGAATATGGATAATTTGTATAAATCAAAAAATATTTTAGATATACCACAAGAATTTTCTATTTTCTTATGGTATTTTGCTTATGCTGAGAATCCTTTTTAAGCATGAATCTTTTAGGCTTTTGTAATGCTCTAATTTAGCTGTTTTAAAATTTGGTGTTATTTGGCACAAAAAATATTGGGAACTACATCTGTATTACCCTTTTATTCACTCACACACTGTTGATTGCCTGTTTTACACACACTGGGCACCATGCCAGGCGGGGGAGCTGTAAAGATGAATGGGTACTCCAGGCCATCTGCCACCACTCTCTCCATGCCCTGCACCCACTTTCCTCTTGGCTTCAATCCCATGAGTTCAAAGAAATCATCAGAATCAAGGTCAGAGACATCTTGACTTTAAACCAAAAGGAGTGAATCTCAAAGGGTCAAAAATTCAGGCTGTAAGGCAGGCTAGAAAAAGTTGGAAAGGACATTCAAAAAAAAAAAAACCAGATCCTCTTAGCAAGAACAGATTTTGATAGCAAGGTGTTTAAAGGGGGTCATATCGTGGAGGGTAGGTGTTGGAGTCATCTAAGATGCACTTCATTTGAGCAGTTTTACCTGGGATCACCTCTGGTAGAGCCTTCTAGTCAGCCCCATAGCTCCTCTGTATGGGCCAGGAGAAAGCCAGGCCAACCTGGCAGGAAGCCCACACCTGCTTGTGACAGCCGTGGTCCTGCAGAAGGAGCACAACTTCCTCGGGAATCTGGGGCTGGCTCGTGGAAGTTCCTTCCTCCGAGCCCCAGGGGCCTGGCCATTACCTTCACAGTCTCACCACCACACTTCATGCAGATTTCATGAAGCATCAGACAGAGCCTGAGGGTGTGCAGACAGGTTAACCAGAGGATGCACTCTCCCAGCTCTGTTCACGCTGTCCCTCCTGTCCATGGCACCTCCGTTCTCCTGTGACCCAGGCTGAGAATCGGCAAGTTGGTTCTGATTCCTCTTCTTTCTGCCCCCACCACCCCCTAGCAGACATAAATCCTGGCACTTACTCTGTGTAATATTTCTTGGATTTATCTCTTTCTATTCCTTCCCTTTCATCATCATTTCAGACCCTAATCTTTGCACACCCAGGATATTACAAAACAGTATAAATTGGTCTTTTTACTTTAGCCCACTAAGATTTGATTTACCTAATATTGCCAGAAAAACAATTCTAAAACATTATTATTATGGTATTTCTGCCCCTCTCCATAAAGAATTTATAGTGGCCTCTTACATGATTGAAGCAGGTAGTCGTGAAAGCAGGGACTGTCCCACATCCTCAGTTGTGTGACATTGAACAATAACTAAATCTCTAATTTTCTCACCTGTTACATGGGACTAATAAGAGGTAATAAATAAAAGTCATACCAGCTTCATGGGTTACTGTTAACATTAAATGGGATGGAATGCATGTAAAATGCTTAGCATCATCCCTGGAACACAGTAAGTACTCAATTAATGTTAATCCTTGTAATGAATAATGGATATAGCCCAGCTGGAGGGAAAAGGAAGGAGAGAAAGAGCATGGCAGCTAGAGGGCTAAAGACACATGTTTACCTCAAGACTGGGGAAGTCTGTCAGGTCTGAGAGTCAGGTTGAAAGAATCAGAGACAAGGAGAGAATTGCATTTGCAAGACAGAATTTAGAAGAAAGGAGGTGGCAAATCTTGGAAAGACTATTTAGAGTAGGAGGCAGAGGGGGAGAGTTTTTATTAACAACTATAAATATTTAAATCCAACACCTGTAGGTTTTTTTACATTCTCAAATATTTTGAGGTTCAACCAAGCCAGGTTAACCAGAGATGTCCATCAAGGTGCATCACAGTGGCCGGGAGCTACTGGACTCAGACTGCCTGGGTTGCAGTGCTCATTTTGCTGCTTTGACTAATTAAGTGAAATTGGGAGGTTACTGATTTCTCTGAGCCTGTTTCCTGATCAGTGAGATCAGCATCATAATAGGCCCACCTCATGGAGTTGTTTTGAGGAATCATTAACTTAATATATATGCACAGGATGCTCATTAACCTGCCTGGCACATGGTAAGAATTCAATACAGTTGGCTGCTATAAATTACATGTAATGACATACACTGTAACCACAGGTCTGTGAACTCATTCAGCAGTGGTTCTCAAATTGTGGTCCCTGGATCCTTTTGGAGGTGTCCATGAGGTCAGAGCCATTTTCTCAATAATACCAAGATGTTATTTACCTTTTTATTCTCATTATCTCATGAATATATAGTGGCATTTTCCAGAATCTTATGATGTGTGATATCACAATAGATTGAAATAATATGAAAATCCAGCTTTTTATCTATTAAGCCAGACAGTAAAGAGCTTTGCAAAAAATGTAAAATTATGCCACTTTTCTTGCTAAAAGTATTTTTGATTTGAAAAAATTTTTTTTCATAAACGTCATGTTAATAATAAATGGACTTACTGATGCTTTATATAAATTTATAAATATTTTTGTCTTACTCTTAATTTCTAATACTGTTAGTGTCACTAGATATAACCCATATAAACAAAAGTTACTTGGGTTCCTCAGTCTTTTTAAGAGCAAAAAGAGGTCTCAAGACCAAAAGGTTTGAGTCAGCTGTCATAGAGTATTGCTCAAACAAAATCAAAATGAGAGCTAACCCTCACCTGTGAGTACAAAGGATTTTTCCCCTCTGGCTAAAGGTAAGTAGCTGGATTGATATACAGAAATATTTTATCTAGGGTTTTGGAACTCTGACCCGGTTTATTCATTTTGAATTACATTGCATTCATATTTTTCTGACCAAGGTGGATCAGGTTCCTAAAGTGACTGTCAGACACTAGACTGGTGCCTTCTCCTTAGCCCGTAGTGGGGACAAACTCCCTGCTCTGAAAAATGTTCTTTGATGGTTAACAGATAGTGGAGACCAGAAGCGCATCTCTGCCAGCCTGTCTCAGCCTCGTGTCTCACCTAAACAATGCAATGAATTCTCATACTTCTGTGCTGAAAGACAAAAATCTTTCTATTTTTAGTGGCTAATCTACCTAACTTATAAACCCATATTATCTTTTGTAGCAAGGCCATGGAGGAATTTATGAATACTGGCGTGACCATTGCTAAGGATCAGAAGAAGAATATGGACCAATTGATAAAGGAAAAAGAGCAGGAAATGAACATCTACTATTGCATGGCTCAGAGGCAGCGGCAGGAGGAAGTTCATGAAGTGCTTCAAGAAGCAGAGAAAACACATCAGGTCACACTTGAGAATGTGATGGATAAACTGGTTAACACTCAGGGGGAGCTGCTGTCCGTAGCAAAACAACTGGAAATTATGACAAATTGGAAAGATTTCCTGGAGGAGGAATTACAAGAAACAAGAATGGCATTTCAAAAATACATCAATTATACATTTCCTAACCTTTCACCAGGACATGCAGATTTTATTCTGCCAGAAAGAAAGAAAATGCCTTCCAATTTTATCATACAGAAGAACTAAACAACATTTCATTAGAAGTCGTCAACTGAAATTTCACTACAAAAGACCTTGTTCCAAAGACTAAATAAATTCACTCATAAACTATTTATTAATCCCTGGTTATTTGCAGGGCACTATTGGGCTGTGAGCATTGTGATGGAAAACCAGAATATTCAAAAGCACATTCTGGGCTTTGGTGAGTTCCAAGTATAATTGAGGAAAGAGAAAAGAGGGATCAAAACTGAGTAGGAAGGAAAAAGTTTTCTTGGAAGAAGTCTAAACAAACTTCTGTATGTGGCTTTATTCATGTTTTCATCAAATAACTGTGTTAGTGTTTGCTGAAGTTGAAAACAAGTAAAGGGACACGTTTTTAGATCATTCCTGTTGTTGAGAAGTGTGTTAACTTCCGGTAGAGAGACTACTTAGTGAACTGCAGTAGCATTGTAGGAAAAAAAGCAATTTCCCTCAAATTCAAATGGATAACATTTAAATTCTGGGAACCCTGTATAAAATAATTTAGAAAGGACTCACTTATATTTGCCAGTTGTGAAAACTATGTCTTTAGAGGACAGACTCCTTCCTTAGGGATGAAGAGGCCTCTTGTGTTTATACCCAAGCCCAGGAGTTCTTTGAATTTATATCCTTTGGGTCAAAATGCAGAAAACTGTTAAGTACCACAATACTCAGCACCAACACATGTCAATATCTATTAAACTAAAGTGGAAGAAAATCCAAGCTCTAAAGACTTCTCCCAAAATCTATCCACTCTAATGTAACATCCTTAAATTATTCATCACCAACCTATATTGGTGGCTATAAAATTAATAACTTGGAAAGCAGTTTCCAGTAAATTAAAAGTCTCAAGCGAGACGTAGGGGATTTGTTTCCATTGACCAGTCTGGGATGTTTTAATGGGAAAAGCAGCAATTTGTTTACAGTTGTGTGATGGACTACTCTCTTCGGCATTTAGCTCTCTGGCCCTGCAGGATGCTGCAGGCCATACTGACTGATTGCCTAGGAGCTGGAAGTAATGTTTCCATAGTACTTTACATGGCTTTTGTGTTTTGTTTTGTTTTTTAAGTTGGATTTTATTTATTTAGATTCTCACTCAAGGATATTTTCCCATTTATTTTTAGACAGAGTGGGAAAGAGAGAGAAACATAGATGTGAGAAAGACACATCGAATGGTTGCCTCCCACATGACCCTGACCAGGACCAGGGACTGAACTACAACTGAGGTACATGCCCTTGACTGGAATCAAACCCGCAACTCTTTGGTCCACGGGCAGATTCTCTAACCACTGAGCCAAACCGGCCAGGGCTATACTGGTTGTTTCTTCATGTGCATTCTTCTCACAACAATTTATGAAATGGAATAGCGGTGGTTGTTATCCCATTGTTTATAGATGATAAAATAAAAATTATTGAAAGTAATTATTACTATCCCCAATTTATGAGAAAAAGAAGCCAAGGCTTAGGGTGGTTTAATAACTTGCCCCCAGGGCACACAGCTAGTGACAGAACCAGAGTTTAAAATATTACAAGGCACAGGCCGCCAGCTGCATGGCCGAGGAGTGCCAGCCTGTGCCAGGAGCACGCACACAAGTGGGCTCATTCGTTTTCACAGCAGTTTGTGAGGCAGCAACCATTGCCATGGGCACAGAGTGTTATGTCAAAGGTATTTCCTGGCCCTGGAGTTTGTTGTATTATTGGAATAATTGACTAAAATTAAAAGATGCCTTACCCTGGCCAGGTAGCTCAATTGGTTAGTGGTGTCTTTTTTTTTTTAATCCTCACCCGAGGACATTTCTCCATATTTTGTTCAGATAGAGTGGGAGGGAGAGAGAGAGAGAGCAACATCGATGTGAAAGGGACACATCGAGTGGTTGCCACCTGCACAACCCAACCAGGGCCGGGGAGAAACTGCAACTGAGGTACGTGCCCCTAGCGGGAACCGAACCTGGGTCTCTCTGGACCGCAGGCCAACACTCCAACCGCTGAGCCAGACTGGCCAGGGCTGGAGTGCTGTCTTGATATGCCAAAGTTGGGGGTTTCACCCCTGGTCAGGGCAAATACAAGAAGCAACCAATGAATGATGGATAGGTAGAACAAGAAATTAATGTCTCTCTCTCTCTCTCTCTCTCTCTCTCATCAATCAATAAAAACATTTTAGGATGTCCTTTTATATTTTTAAAATTTTATTTTTTTTATTTTTATGAATTTTTTAATTATTTTTTTGTTACAGATATTTTACCTTTTTACCCCATTGGCACCCCCCACCCCACCCCACCTCCACCCCGTCCCCGGCTTAGTTGTCCATGTCCATTGGTCATGCATACATGCATATAAGTTCTGTGGTTTATCTCTTCCCACCCCCCCACCCCCTCTTCTGAGGGATGTCAGTCTGTGCCCTACTTCCATGTTTCTGGGTCTACTGTATTCCTCAGACTGTTATGTTCATTATATTCCGTATATAAGTGAGATCATGTGGTATTTGTCTTTTTCTGCTTGGCTTCTTTCACTTAGGATAATACTTTCCAGGTCTCTCCATGTCGTCTCAAAGGATGAGAGATCTTTCTTTCTTACCGCTGCATAGTACTCCATTGTGTATACGTACCACAGCTTTTTGATCCATTCGTCTACTGGTGGACACTTGGGCTGTTTCCAGATCTTAGCTATTGTAAATAGTGCTGCTATGAACATGGGGGTACATATATTCTTCCTGTTTGGTGTTTCAGGCTTCTTAGGGTATATTCCCAGCAGTGGGATCACTGGGTCAAATGAAAGTTCAATTTTTAATTTTTTGAAGTAGCACCATATTGTTTTCCATAGCAGCTGCACCAGTCTGCATTCCCACCAGCAGTGTATTAGAGTCCCCTTTTCTCCACACCCTCGCCAACACTTGTTGTTTGATGATTTGTTGACGGCGGACATTCTGACAGGTGTCAGGTGATACCTCATTGTTGTTTTAATTTGCATCTCTCTGATAATTAGTGATGTTGAGCATTTCTTCATATGTCTTTTGGCCATTTGTATGTCCTGTTTGGAGAGGTGTCTATTCAGCTCCTCTGCCCATTTTTTAATAAAATTTTATTTTTTGATTACAGTTTACATTAAATATTATTTTGTATTAGTTTCAGGTGTACAGCATAGTGGCTAGACAATCATGTACTTTACTAAGTGGTCCCCCTGATATTTCAAGTACCCACCTGGCAATGTACATAGTTATTATAATATTATTGACTATATTTCCTATGCTATACTTTATATCCCCAGGACTATTTTGTGACTACGGATTTGTATTTCTTAATTCCTTTACCTTTTTCACCCTGCTCCCCCAACCCCCCTCTACTCTGCCAACCATCAGTCTGATCTCTGTGTATATGAGTCTGTTTCTGTTTTGTTTGTTTACTTATTTTGTTTTTTAGATTCCACATATAAGTGAAATCTTATGGTATATGTCTGCCTCTGTCTGACTTACTTCACTTAGCATAATGCCTTCTAGATCCATCCATGCTGTCCCAAATGATAAGATTTCATTCTTTTTATGGTTGAGTAATATTCTATTATATATATGTACCACAGCTATTTTATCCACTCAGTTATTGATGGACACTTGGGTTGCTTCCTTATCTTAGCTATTGTAAATAATGCTGCAATAAACATAGGGGTGCATATATTCTTTTGAATTAGTGTTTTGGATTTCTTTAGATATATACCCAGACATGGAATCTCTAGATCATAAGACAATTCCATTTTTAGTGTTTTGAAGATGTTTCCACAGTGGCCCCACCAATCTGCATTCCCACCAACAGTGTACAAGGGTTCCCTTTTCTCCACATCTTCTCCAGCACTTATTGTTTATTGATTTATTGATGATAGTCATTCTGACAGATGTGAGGTGGTATTTCATTGTGGTGCTAATTTACATTTTTCTGATGAATTAATGACAATGAGCATAAAAGATACCTTTTTATTACTATGATTTCATGGGCTCCTTGGGTCAGTTACCAAAAGGCAGTCATTTGCATATCATCCTCACAATTTTTCCATACCTAAGAACTCTTTTTCTATTATGCACTTAATATTTTATTTAAATAAATTTTGCTTAAATAAACATTACGCATGGGTAAAAAAGAAGGAGAAAGAGTAAGAAGAATTATGACCCAATAGAGACTCATAGGGCAGAGTGGAAATGCTAAGGCCAGACACAAAGAAGAGAGACTGGGCAGATAATGAAGGCCCTAAAGGCTAAGAGCAAGAGTGGACAGGAATATGGTAGGGATGGGTAGGGAGTAAGGTATTGGCAGAACCTCAACAAACTAAATTTCAGCCTGAGAAGGAAAGTCTGGGCTACATACAGAAATATGAATGGAATTTGGAGGTGAGGTGTTTAGGAGATTCTGAGATTGATTGGAGGTACTAGGGTGATGAACTGAGAGTTGAGTGAGGCTATAAGCATCTGAGGAGTGAGTGTTCAGTGCTGGGAGAGGGGTGAAAAGATGTAGCTGGAGGTTAAGGAAATAGGAGGCCAGGGGAGGTGTAAGATGAAAGTGCGCTAGGACCCTGAGGTTGAGTTAAAGAAGAGGAACTGAAGGTGGAGTGTGAGGCCCAAGAGCTGGGGAAAATGGGAGGTGCCAGGAAGGTTAAGGAATATGGGCTGAAGAAGGGCATTGCAATGAGTACAAAGTGTTGGGCAGGCCTAAGGAGAAGTAGAACAAGAAAGTCAGTTGAAACTTGGGGTGGGGGGTTACCCTGGAGAAATGGACAAAGGGATTGAGTGACCACCATACCAGCATGGTCTCCTGAGTCTGAAGTCTGAATCTTGAGTCTTGAGTGCAGTGATACAGGTCAGCATCCACTGAGTTAAGGCGACATGTGCATGTACCAACTAGAACACCTCTCAGAGTGGTATGTGATGCAGCTCTCGCTCTCTCTCACTCTGTCTCTCTCTTCATATATATGTATTCATGTCAAGATGAAAAATATAATATATGAAATGAAAATACCCTCTGTGGGATTAAGAAGAAAAGATAAACTTGAAGTTTATCCAAAACTTCAAATCCAAATTGAAGCACAGAAAGAAAATAGACTGAAA